AGCTATCGTCCTTTCCTCTCTATTCCATGCCTCAAACATCTCCCTGTACGTCCAACCTATTTTCCCAGCTAGTCACGTACACTCTTCCCTCTCCTTCTTGTACAACGGACATTCCGCGACTACATGAACACGGTCTTCGCATTCGAAGCCGCAATCACATTTGAACTCGTCGTCTTCGTCGTCTACCGTCCCATGTCTTCGTCGACGTTCTTGAAGGCCTGTGTCCCCGGTCCGGAATTTGACCTTAAGCTTTGTTCCTGCATCCATTGGTCCATGTAGGTAGTCCTTGAACCCTATTCCTTCCTTCAACATTCCGTACACTTCTAGACCCTCCTTATCCTTGGATTCTTTCCTTGGATGCTGTTCTCCTCTCTCGGCACAAACGGATATCTTCTTCTCCTTGAACCCCTTTAGACCCTCCGTTTCCAGCGTTTCATCTTCGTCGATGTCGAGCCCCTTCCATACGTCCTCTACAACCTTGACCCATTCCGTGGGTTGTCTACCCCTCTTTTTGTTTGCCCACTTCGCCTCCCATACAATTCTCGGCAACCTCTCCTCTCCCATCCCGCACATGCGATACTGCCAGGTCAGCTTCCTCGCGTCTCTTCCCGACCGTAGGGATTGGATCCCCAATTCTGCCCTCACGGCTGCATTACTTGTGCGCCTGGAGCATCCTAGGATGGTTTTCGCTGCTTTCATCTGCGCCGCCTCGAGTTCTTTCACTACCTTCTTATTTCCTTCCCATACTTCTCCGGCGTACTCTAGCGGCGGTACGATTACGCTCTTCAAAACCGTCAATTTGATGCGTGTATCGAGGTGCCGGTTTGCGAGTATTGGGTGCAGCTTCCCTGCTCGTGCTTTGCCCTTTTCCGCTACCTTGGACATGTGTGCATTCCACGAGCAGTCTTTTGCGATCTCTACTCCGAGGTATGTGTACTGCTCCACTACTGCAATCTCCGTACGTAGCGCGGTGGGTGTTCACAAAACACACACAGACACGCAAAAAAACACAAGCCGCGTTCTTTGTCCCGCTACAAGACTGACGTCTTTTCATCTGTCAGCCCATTAGCGCGGTCGATGCTAAAAAAACAAACAAAAACACACACCTGGGCCGACTCGAACTCGCTCCTTCCGTACAGCGAAGAGTCCGGCTTCGCCATCGCCAGGGTCCTCAGGATAGCGTTGCTCTGGGTCACCGCCTCCTCGCCCCCGAGGGGCGCCGCCTCCCCCGGCCTGCAAACCTTGAGGACAAGCCCCTTGGCCAGCGGCGCGAAGGCCTCCATCTCTTCCTCCGACATGCCCGCCTTGAGGTCGAGGTCGATCCCGGCCATGCTGAGCAAGATGACGAACGATTCCAAGCGGAAGTAGGTGTGTCGTCCGATATATGGTTGATTTTGGAAGTTACATGGGGTGGAAAGGGAAGGCGTGAGGTAGGGCGACGAAGACATCATATGCGATAGAATTCATAAGCGGGCAGGTGCGGGAGGAGGAAGACGTGCAAGGCGGGGCGGTGAAAGGGGGAGCGGGACCAATGGGGCACAGCGAAATATATTTGGCGGAGCGACGAGGGGGGGGGTAAGGGGGTAACATTGGGCAGTTGGGGGGAGGGGGGTTGCTGCTCTCTTGGAGAAGAGGGATAGCGTCATTCTGTTATCGTACATAAACAACACGGGCTTTCTTTAGTCGAGACGTCGAGACCGTGACATGTATTGGGAACCCCAAACGCACACCTGTCTGTCCCGCGAGCTGAGGAACTGATCAGTCGGCCCCTTCTTGTCTCTATCCATTCGCTCTTGATCCTTGCTTTCAATTAATCCAGACTATGACAAGCACGTACCTGGTACTTATACTATGTCATGACTATCGGATGGGAGTCATCCTCCGCAACCAACAAGAACTCGGTTGCGGCACGGCGGACATGAAGCTCGGCGTGAGCAGCATGCGGCAACAGCAAACACAAAACCACCACTTTTCCGGTAAAATCGCCTATTGTTCACAACAGAGTACTTCACTTGAGAAACCTGAGCGCGTATCGATATACATTTGGCGCCACGTGGAAAACGACAGCCATATCATAAGTAGATAGGTGCGGGCAAATTAGTCATGTACTGTTCCCAGTCGATGCGCTGCTGTAGGAACAAATACGGATTCTAATCGGATGAACATGTTCGCATAAACAGCATATTCAGGGTATGGTCATGGGGCTGCCGCACACGTTGCCGATGGACAAAAAGCACGCTCCAACCCGACCGTCGTCGCAGAAGACAATGGTAACCAATGCAGTCCCGTGTTCAAGTCTAGACTATGTTGTACAGTATGCTGTTCACATTTCCGGTTGGTGGAACGCGCTCGCCAACACAGGGAAGGAAGGGCAACTACGGCTGTAGATTTCCACAAGAACCACGATTTGTGGCGGAAAATGGTCCGTCTCTAGCAACACTTGTTTCGCTGCCGAAACAGATGCATTTGTCGCGAATGCAAGGCGACAAGGACGGCCTGAGCAACCACGAGAATTCATGTGAGCACCACCCTCTTGATCGGTGTCACGGATGCGGCACTCTTGCTTACCGGGCCACCACGCAGATCTTTCTGACCCGGTAGTCCTGCTGCTCGTCGCTGGCACTGGACCAAAGCTCGAAGCTGATCCCCGAGCCGATCAGCGGCAGCGCAGCAGCATCACCCGCCATCCTTGTGCACTCGATGCTTTCAGCCGCAGGAGCTGTTCTTGCAGCAGTCCGTGTCCGTGCCTCTGCACCTTTCCGCCGTGGATCTCTTCCCCGTCGCGCTGAAAACACGAGCAACTCTGCACCTAATGTCCTGTGCAACAACAGCTGCAGGAGACTGTCGGGGTTCCGCAGGAATGGTATGCAACACTCTTGTACAGGTCGCGGTGCCCCTTGCTCCACCAGTCTGCACCAGTCTCGCACCAGCACCAGCTGCAACACCACGCACTCGTCAGTCGTGCGCACCGCGCAGCGGCGGGTACATTTGGTGGCTGTGAGGGTGGGTGCAATTTGGAGGAGACACAACTGTTGCCTCGACATCGAGGCTGTGGCCGTGAGATTCTCTGCACGAAGCAACACCGCTGTGTCAGCACCACACTGCAACAGCAGCACCAGACAGACACGCGTGTGTTTCACGTTCCGGCACCACTGTAACTTCGTCCTTTCACCATGGGAACCACAAGCTCCAAGCTTGCGGGCAGAGGGTCTGGAGAAGCCCCGGTGAAACCGCAACACGCCACCGCCGACTCTACGCCTGCTACCTGTCCGCTCGGGTTCGACAAAAAGACGAACACTAAGGCGGAGGGGGGCGACTCGGGTCCCACAAACCGCAGCAATAGCACCGCCGAGGCACAAGCGGCAGCTTCTTCATCGTCTTGCCCCGTCAAGACGTTGCTTCCCGGCAGCGGGGCCGGCTCCGCAGCACCAGCACCTTCCGCCGACGCTCCAACTTCCAGCTGCCCGGTCAAGGAAGAGAACCGACCGAAGGTAGCCAAATACCTGCACCCACACAAGTACAACGTGTACAGTCAGAGGATAAACACCAAGGATGGTCTCGACCCCACCAACAACATGCCGGCCAACCCCAACCAGCAGCCGGCTCCCGGGCAGGAGAAGCCCTTGTCCACGGCGAGGGTGCAGAGCACGATCCCGAAGGGCGGGGAGGAGACCACCTGGACCTACCCGTCACCGCAGATGTTCTGGTGAGAGGTGGTACACCAAGGCTCTACGTACCGTACAATGCTCACATGTGATACTATGTAGCACAATCGGTAACAGCACCTACAGCAGGCTTCCGCAGTCTAGGCTTCTCCGTACTCGGTAAATCTACAGCAGTACAGTCTGACGCGTTACGGGTTGTCTCTACCATTGTAGATCGAGCGTCTTGGGCTCACCGACAAGGCCAACAGCGTCGCAACCATCTATGGAGGCAGATAGCAATGCTCGACAGGCACACGGCCAGACCCTTGTATCGTGCACAACAAGAGAGGAACCTGACGCCTATGTTCTGCATCAGTATCATAAGCCATCACCGACACTACACAGACTAAGCGAGCAACGGACGCCGACACAGACATTCTGCATAGCAGCAACAACACTATTTAGAGCAACAGTCTCACAGTCAGCCCGACTCTGCTGATTCAGAAACAATTGCATCCGCAGCCTTTGCTCTGCACTACGTAGTCTACACAACTAACACTTTTCGCGAATCTCGGTAGTGAATGTGCTGCCTTCCCCGGTAAAGCCATCGCATCCCGCATGTTGTTTTGTTGCGCGGGAACGCAGGAACGCTCTGTCCCGCAAGGGGAAGGCCGAAAACACGGAGGAGGGAGACATGGACATCGTTGTTTCAATCCACAACAACATGAACGAGGTCACCTGGAAAAAGATATTGGAGTGGGAGAAGTTGAGAAGGTATGTGCAAGACTTGTTTCGTTTCAGGTCCCAAGCAAATCACCTCAAGTTTTAGATACTGGTTCGTACCGGTACACGGTTTTTTCGTGTTTTTTAAGACTTGAACACATTTCCTACAATGCATATAGCAACACTTTTTTTTGCACTGGTCTGGTTTAAATTGAGCTTTCACAAGGGCTTAATCTTAGTTATGATGCTGGCGAAGATAACTTGGGTAATGGTCGTCCAAGCCTGACACCTCTCGCTTGACGTTGTGTTTGGTGTGGCAGGGAGGGGCCACTTAAGTTTTGCATGCCTAAGCGGGTAAACCATTGACCACGCGTCCTCGAGAGGACGGAGGATTGTTCCTAATGTAGGAACAATCATCGATGGCCGATCGTTCTTTCCTGCTTTACCAAAGGGGGCTCAAGAATGCTTTCCCTGCCTATATCTATCCTACCTATTATGGAAGAGGGGGGTAGGTATTCGCCTCTTCGCGTTGGAGGAGACAGGTGGCAGCGACTCCGCTTGCATGTTTGGCTTCGCAAGGGATTGGTTGGCACCTTGCTGCATTAGACCGTGGTACGAGGGTTGGGATTGACTTAGGAAGCGTCAGCCCTGGACACGAAAAGTAGTTAGACACACATCGCGGACGAGAGCACTAAAGAAGGGACAAGTTATCAATTTTCTGGCTGCTCCTTGCTCGGCCGAATATGTTGTAGATTATCAACAAATCATCCCCGATTGGCCGGCCGTACAGGAACAAGCTTTTCTCTTCCTTGTCCTCGAGCGCGTTTGTCTGACACACCGCTAACGCCGACCTCGCCTGTCGAACTCACGTGTGTCTCGCCACAATCGTGACCTCCACCGGGTGGTGCGCGAAGTCGTGGAGGGAGCGGCGTCGACGGCGCGGAGCCCCGCTTGCTGCGGTTCAAGGGCCGCCCTAACGACACGGCCCCGAAGGCGCTGGCGAAAATGGTGCTCGGACACCCGCTGCCGTTCGACCGTCACGACTGGGTAGTGGACAGGGGAGGGGACGAGGTACGACGGGGGCTCCGCAGGATGCGGACCGGGGGGGACTCTGCGGAGCCGAAATCAAACGGTTAGGCTAATCGGCGCTGAGGATCTCGGGAGAAAAGCCCACCTTGAGTGTTCAGCCTGGGTTTCGAATCCCAAGACTATCTTATGTTGAAGCCGAAATCAAACCACCACAAGCCTACTCAAGTGCTGACTAGTCCACTTACCCCGAAGTTTCGCAAAGCATCCCATGAAAGAAGTATGACAAATGGGTACGCAGGAGGGAGAGGAAGGGACGGGTGAAGCGTACTACACTGTCCAAGCGTGAGCCGATGACGGTTTTTATTTATTCATCCATGGTAGTAAACACGCCGATGAA